TGGTTAAAGAAATAACAACATTATTTGGTCTTACTAGATGCTTTGTTAAGCATCTTAAACTTTAGTAATTAAGAAATGTATTCCAAGTGAAATTTTGTCTGCAAGAATCATTCTGTGGAATAGTTTTTGCCTTCTTTGGTACTATATTGATGTTTGGAAACATGAGGTACCCAGAAGGCAGTTAAGTATATTTATTAAATATAAATAGCACATTATTACACTGTTGCATAGAGGTAGCAAATTTAATAGAAGAATCAAATGAAAAGTACCTAAAAAGACTTCTGGTGTTTATTTTAATCTGATTTATGGCATTTGTATGTCTAGTATTTTATAATCCTATTCATCAATTTAAAAAATGTCACAATAATATCAGAAAGTATGTAAATTCTGTGACTATTTTCTTCTGCATGGAATAGATTTAAAGGTCAACACTACTCTTTTATGTAGGTTATGGGTGCTACATGTGTGCTTTCAGAGCAGTAGTGTGAGGAAGCTTGAAGTGGGATGGCAGGACGGCCTCATCCTTATGACAGTAACTCCAGTGATCCAGAGAATTGGGATCGGAAATTGCATAGTAGACCTCGTAAACTTTATAAACATTCAAGGTAGGTAGAAAATATGTATTTCACATATCAAAGCTCTGATAAAATTGATTTTTATACAGAATCAAACTGCATTTGGTTGTGGCAAGTCCTGTCAGAGAATGGAGGCTGGTTTACAAAATATTATGAATGTTTACATTTCTCCTTAAATAACTTTTAGAGAAATGTTTCTTTCCTTTTAATTTTCTTATATTTGTATTTATTTGAATTTTTGTTTCTGTTTCTAAATAATGTTAAAATCTCCTTACTTGATCCCATGAATAAATGCAGTGATTAATTTAATTTGGAACTCTGGCAAGACAAGTTAGTTCTTTATATTTAAAACTCTCTATTAGGAATTTATTTTGTGCTCTGAATACATTGTGTATGTAGATTATACATGATAATTTATGGGCTTATGTCAGTCTTTGCCTCCATACATTTTTAACTATGTGAATTTATATTGTGTTGTCATTCTGATCCTAATGGGAAAATCCATCTGTCTGCATTGACTCTACTGGTTCATTTAAAGTTTGATATATTAAATGAAATTCATTTCAAAAGTTTCAGCCCATTTATATATTACTATTAAAGCTTTCATTTTGTGCTGTGTGACTTAATGAGGAACACCTCATTTAGAACACTTTATGATCTGATATTTTAAAGTGTTAATTGGCAGCTCATAAACCTCACATATTACAGGTATGTAAGCATGTTTTCATGGAGTATTGTGCTGTATGAATATTTGCTTAGGGGATATTATTGAACATTTAACTTACTTGAATGTAAAATTCTCCTGATCACTGATAACTAATACCAGCTTTCTTGAAAAAGAATAAAAACATGTCATGATATTGAAATACCTTTTGTAATTTTAAAGATAATTCGGTACTTTAAAACTATATGCTATAGCTAGAAAATATGAATGATTGGTACTGTTTAAGTCTCCTGACAAGACATCTGCCTTTATTGTGGACTTTTAATGTGGTGAGGTCTAGAATGAAAATGTTAAGTTGACTTTATTAATTTATAAGTACACACCAATGGTATGAGTGTTTTTTGGTTTGTTCGTTTGTGTGTGTGTGTGTGTGTGTGTTTGTCCTTCACCTGGTGTCTCTAGTTCTTTTGCTCCATCCTGCTTACATGGATAATTATTTTGGCTTTGAGGTTAAAGAGATAGTGGTTTTATCTCATTAAGTGTGGGGCTGTATTTATATCTGCTATGTTGTATACATTTTTTCAGGTGAATTATATGTTATTTTTCCTAGTTCTTCATATTTTTCTGCTGATGTACAATACTGTATTATATATGAAGTGGTGACAGGGTGAAAATAAGCTGTTGTTTGCTTTATAAAAGCTACATGCATACAATGGGAAAAATTTATAAAAACTAACAGTACTTTTTTCATTGTTATTTCATTTCAGTAACAAGTATCATAGTTCTTCTTGATGTCTATGGCATCAGTAACTTTTTGGCGCTCTTCTCAGGTAGATTGCAGCAGTGTTGGTTGTTTAAGTGAAAAATATGAAGAGAAATATAAAATAAGTACATTGATTTTTCTTTCTTTTTAATGGAAATACCGTGAAATCCTATGAGCTTATTTTAACCTCATTCATGGAAAATCTGCCCAAAGGAAAACAGTTTTACCTTTAGGGAGTTTACTAAAGTAAACAGTTTACTTTTCTTATTCCTCTGTACTTAGGAACATATAACTTGGCATACTTTAAAAAAATATACAATTTGACTTTTTAAAAATGGTATTTTTTGAATTGATAGTAAATTAATTGACTGAGAGGTTTTAAAAACTAACAGTCAGCAAGTAGTTGAGAACCTGTGCTTAAGTTCAGGAGAGATTCAGAAGTTTGTGAGGGTCCCATCATGGAATGCTTTAATATCCACATATGGAACAATTAGAGGACAATAGGGCACTAAACGTGGTAGTGAGTTGTAGTAAAATAAGAGTTCAGAGAAGGAATCAATATCAACTTGAGTAGGTGAAAATGAGACTTGCACTAATCTTTGGATGATTAGGTAGATGGAGGACATTCCTGCCAGGGACCTTCTGGAGATTACCTTGACTGGATCTGAAGGTGGAGCTCTGTGAGTAGTGTTACTTACTGTCTCCATTTGACAGATGAAAAAAATGAGGTTAGTAAACTTGCCCAAGGCCATCCAACTTCTAAGCAACAGAGCTAGGATTTATAAACAAATTGCTCATTCTTTTTATTTTTAAAATTTTAAATAACTTATTATGGTACAGTTCAAATACCTGTAAAGTAGAGAGAACAGGCATAATGAACCCCTGTGTACCCATTCCCCAGCTTCAGTTTAACTCGAACAAACAAAACCGATTTTGTTTCACTTATGCTTCTGCCTACTCTCATGCTTTTTTTGAATCTTGTGTATTTTTTTTAGGGATGTTTGAGTTAAAAAAACAACAGACTAAACACTGGCTTAAGTTAGGGGTTTATTTTTCTTGTACCTAAGAAGTCCACAGGTAGGCAATGCCTGATGTAGAGTTAGTGGCTTAAGGATGTTAGGGTCAAAAATCGCTGATTTTTTTGGCTTTTCCTCATGATCACAGTATGGCTTACTGTGGCTCCACCCATCATGTCCACCTTCCAGACGAGGAGGAGGAAGGCAGAAGGAGACAAAGGGAAAAGAGTTTCATTTATATCAGGAAATTAAATTTCTTGGAAATTTCCAGCAAGCATCTGCGTATAAATCATCGGCTAGAAATGTGTCATATGGTCATCTCTGGATCAGGGAAGCTGAGAAATACAGGTGGGCACATTGCCACCTCAAACAATTGGGGATTTAAATTTATAAAAAGTAAATTTCTCAGTCCATTTGGGTGCTATAACAGAATACCATAGACCGGGTGGCTTATAAACAACAGAAATTTATTTCACACGGTTTGGGAGGCTGGGAAATCAAGATCAAGGTGCTGGCACATTCAGTATCTGGTAAGGGCTTGCTTCCTGGTTCAGACAGTCCTCTTTTTGCTGTGTCCTCACATGGTGGAGGGGACTAGGGATCTCTCTGGGATCTCTTTTATAAAAGGACTAATCCGTTCATGATGACTCTGCCCTCATGACCTAATCACCTCCACATTTCCAATACATCACATTGGGAGAATACATGAATTTTGGGGGACACAACCATTCAGTCTTTAGCAGTAAAGAAGTAAACATACTTTATTGATTCAGTTTTTGCAGATAATCTAAAAAGTTCTCTTGTTTAAATTTGTTTTTTGTTTGTTCTATTCACGTTTTGGAATAGCCTGCTTTTTTTCGTTCTTTTTCCTTTGATTCCCCCCCGCCCCATGTTTTCTTACTGGCAAGGATAAAAATAAATTTCTTGAATTATAAAAGTAAGAATAGTTTACTCTCTTATGTGTGCTTACCATTGAGGTTTGAGAGTTTGGTGGGCATTGCCTTATGGTTTCTTTTCCATCTAATACAACTTTAAGGTACTTTCTTTTCTGAACTTTCTTTTGAATGTAGATTTGGTATGTATAACACCAAAATATAAAAGACAAGACAAGACAGAGAAGCTAATCTGGACATGAATGGACTTCAGAGTGCCTATGATCCGTCTGCAAGCGCATAAATGAATTAGATAGTTAAAAATTACTGAGCTTTGTTTCTTTCTGGGTAGTTGTGTAGTTAATACCTGTGTAGAGGGATTTGGTAGCTTGCTGAGAGGTTAAAGATCATTTCAGTTGAAGTGTATTTGGCTTGAATTGCGACAACTTGCTTTAAATTATAAATTAGAGGAGTTTTTGCTATTTAAAAAGGAAAAAGAAAGAGCACTTTTTCTGTCTAACTAACGTTAAAATGCCTAGATTGACGATATGCTAAAATCTCTTCACTATTTGAATTGGGTCAAATAAGACTATTTAAAACTCACATCTGCAGTCTCCTCAGGTTACTAAAGATAAATGCATCATACATTCAATATCAGACTTTGCCGCAAGGTTTCATTCCCACATAGAAGTACGCATGCTCGTTCCTTCTGCTTCTGCATGAAGATTGAGCTTTCCAGTTTCCCTTTTAAGTCATTCCATAGTCCCAGCAGCAGTTTAGAAATGGAAAAGTTTGGTTGCTTTAAAGAGTAGTTCTTGAGTGGATTCTTAAAGTACAAATAATATTTTCTCGTTGATTTGAAGGAGAAGCTTTACTGCCCAGAATGGATACACAATAAAATACTGAACAGAAAAAAGAAAGTTAGCTGCATCCTGGTGTTCTAAAACCTGGCAAGCTGGCAGAGCTAGAATTAGCTTTACAGATGGCATTTGGTAACATATCTACATATCACTAAGCCCTCATCTCCTGAGTTTTCTTCAGCCTGTCTATCAATTACAATATCCAATCACTGCATGGAGATGGAGAAATGGGACGATCACAGCTCACACGATGCTGTTTGGTTAGAAACGTCAGTGCTGCACAACCCACGGCTGAGTCAGTGTCTGTGAGAAAATGAACTGAATTAATAGAGAGAGGGGGCTGTATCTCTGAACATTTAAAGCCTAAATAACCGCAATAGCATTGTTATACAGTAGAGGGAGGAAAGCTAAAGGAAGTCTGTGGACAGGCGAGATAGAGGGAGACTGGGAAATTTTCTGATTGTTCAGAGGCATCTTGAAGATGATGGAAATATCAGATGTGCTAAAGTTTCCTAGTAATGCCCAAGGATGCTGACCTGGCTTTCAGTGCTGCATTGTTTGAAAAAACAGAGTCCCTTTATACTCTGATTTCAAAATTTTTTTCTTGTTTTTGTGTGTCTACCTTGGCATATACTAAAGTAAGGTGTGTATTCATTTATTACGTGATATTACTGGGTTATAATTCTATACATATATGAATATAAGAGAGATTAAGAGATATGTTTGGCCTTTGTTTCATTATAATCATTTACATGTCTGGATGTAAAAGATCATATGTCTTGATTGTCAGTTTAATGGCAAGTTATTTAAAATAAATGGAGTGTGTTTTTATTGTTTTCATGGGTTTGATGCTTTGTTTTTTATTTTGTTTAAAGTCTTAGTAGAATCTTCATGTAACTTGAGAGTGCATTATGTTTGGTATTTTTTTATGAATAACAAAAAATTTATTTAAGGAAAAACTAATTTTGAAATAATGTTTTTGATATGTTTGAAAATAAAATTCAAGATAGAGAAATGAAATAATTGAAATAATTTCCTGAAGAAGGTGAATATATTTTTACTTTTGAATGAATTAAGGATTAGTTGAACCACTTATATGTAGTAGTATTTTATAGAACCAAATGTATTTGAATGATAAAGTTTTAATTGGTTAAAATTACTTTCTTTTTAGTCTTTTATTTATAATATAGACTTTGACTAGATTATCTAGACACTGCTGCTGAAATAGAGAGTAAACCATATAAGTTTTTGGGTTATTGCACATTGATTTTCAACCAGACAAAGTTTCTAAATAAAGATAATTGTTCTTGCTATGAGATTTTAAATCTTAACAGGTGACACTGCTTACTTTTTAGGAAATTTTAGCACAATTTTAAACTGTGGCTTAAAATTGACTAATGGTTTTTTTCTTTTGCCTTCATTATCCCTATCCTACTCATGCTTCATTTTGTAGGGATTTTGGGGGATATACATTTTAAAATTATTTTATTTTTAATATATTTAAATAGTTTATAACATCTTTTCCTTGAAATGTCGGGAAGTTCTTGTGATTTCCCCCATTTAATTTCTAAAAGTTTGAATAGTCATCTTGGTGGTTGTCACAACTTATTTATATAGTTAGACTTACTAGTGGTATCTTGTATTGGCTTTTTTTTGTGGTTTGGTGTCCAGAAATGTTTTTCTAAGATTGTTTTAGTAATAAAGTTATAAATGGAGAAATCTCAAGCTAGGCTTTTTTGTCTTATACTTTATAGAATATTTTCCTCTGGTTCTGCTTATTCTTTTAAAGTAATAATGCTTGTGTTATTGTAAAAATGATACATCTTCATTGCATAAATTTGATAAATACAGAAAAGCACATAGAAGAAAACAAAAATATGTTGTTCTACAATTGTAAGAAAAATACTTTAAATGTTTTTGCATATAACCTATTTTTTTCTGTGTATATATGAAAATATAAAATCACACATATGTACTTAAAAATGATTTTGGGATATTACTGTATGTACTGTTACATAACCCATCCTTTTAAGAATAACCCATCCTTTTAAGAAAACCTTAATCATGAACATCCCCTATGTCATGAAATAGTTTTCTATAGCATAATTCTTAAGAACTGCAGGGTGTTTTGTGTATATATGTTTTGTAGTTTATTTCACCAAACTGAGTTTTTCTGATTCTTGATCAGAGAAAAGATCAGCATGATTCCAGAGTATAAATTTCTCCTAAAAGGAAGATGTCTTAGGGAGTTAAGTAAAAATGTAATTCTCATATTTTTCAGACTGAATAAGATCTTTAGTGTGATTACATAATGAATTCTTTCAAGATATGCACACTACTTTTAAAACAAAGCAAAAAGCTAAGATTGCCATAATAAATATACAAAGTATAGAAAATAAATCTTTTAAAAAATCAGGAAAACAAGAGCTCAAACAAGTGAGACTTTAAAAAAATGCTAAGACCAACCAAAAGGGTTTCTTATATTACATTTAAATAAGATGATCAAGGCAAGTGTAATGCATGGCAGTGAGGGAAGAAAAAGATCCCTCAACTCTTATTTAGGAGCTTCTTTGTTAAAGAGGAAGAGCAAACACCACCACCACCAATAACAATAATAACAAAGCAAACATTGCTAGGAAGGTCATAAAAACCAGCATGGATATAGAGATAAAAGAGGCATCTAGTTAAATGAGTTGTCTTCTGGGCCAGTTGAAACATCTGATAGTTATAAAAGCAACTGCCTGCAAAATCTTAAAATTATTGGTGTTATTTGTGGTCTTAAAAGATTTTAGGAGAATACAAAAAGTGCTGAAAGATGGAGGATTCTAGGCCCGAATTTTGAAAAATGTTGATTTTAGAACAAAAAATGAAAAGGATTGTTTATGAAGTTGAAGAAAAAGTGTAAAAACAATTCCAGAATGGGTTTGCTAAAAACAGATTTGTCACAGGAACTTTGATTTTTCTCTCGTGCAGTTGGGAGACTAGTAGCAAGTATTTGGACTTATGGTTTTTGGTAAAGTCTTTTTTTATATCCTTGGGTGTAAGATGAAGGAAAAATTAGTTCACCACTAGTTGATTGTGTTAGTTAATCAACACAATTTTGATGTTGACTGACCCTATCCAAAGATTATTGATCTTGGAAGGTGACTTTGTTCTTTTCTTTGTCTTACGCTCATCTGGAGAAGGCAAATTATCAAATTTATAGGTGACAATGAAGGAAGAAGGATAGTAAATAATATACTAAATGATCCAAAATGATCTCTGAGTCTGGATTGTTGGACTAAATTTAAATGAACTTGGGAGGAGTATACATAAGGCCCAAAAAACACTAACATAACATTAAGTTAACATGGCTTTACAACATCACATATGGAAAAGACCTGAGGGTGGTTGTTGGTGGTAAACTTGATATGAAACAAAAGTACAATATGGCCGCCATCATCTCATCTTCTCCCCTGCCCTCCCTGCTAAAAATTCATTGTAGTTAATAGAAAAGAAGGCTAGAGCCCCTCTGCTGTACACTAAAGTATTGTTGTCTTTAGTTCTGTGTATATTCAAAAGGAAGGATGTGAAGAAGTTGGAAGTCTTGTCAGCTTAAAGAACTGAGAATTTAGGGGTCTTGAGGGGCAGCTCTGGTAGATATAAAGGAATCTTACAATAGGAGCTGTCTTCAAATATGTGAAGAGTTATCCTTTGGAAAAGAAATTAGATGTGGTTTGAGTCAGACTTGTTGGAGATTAAAAGCATGAGCTCTGACATTGAACTCCTTAGGTCGCATCTCAGACCTGCCACTTATTTTAGGTAAGTTGATTAGCCTCTAAGCTTCTGTTTTCTCAACTGTAAAATGGTTTTGAGGTTAAATGAAAATATACATAAAGTGCTCAGTATTGTGCCTGGTGTGTAATAAATGCTCAAATATTAGTGTTGTTATTTGGTCCTAGCTGATAGAACTAGGGCAGTGGTTCTCAACTAGAGAGGTGATTTTGCTCCTCATTGGGCATTTGGCAATGTCTGAAGACGTTTTTTGTTGTTACAGCTGGGGGAAGGGAGTACTACTAGCATCTAGCCAGAGGTGCTACTAAACATCCTACAGTGCACAGGACAGTTCCCCGTAACAAAGAATTAATTGATCCAAAACCCTGAACTAGGGTCAGGTACAAAGGTTCAATTAACCTTTAACGTTAAGGAAAAACTGCCTAAGAGTCAGAGCTTTCCAAAGATAGAACAAAACTGTTAAAAAGAAAAAACAAGTTACTCTTTCTTCTTATTAACAGTAGTAGGTCAGCGACTTCATGAGGACTTTGTAGATGAGATTCAGGAATTAGATGGGTGTTTGGACTAGATTTCCTAAAAGGTTTTTCCTAAACTTAGATTCTATGTTTCTATGGTTATTTCTTAGGATAGTTAAGCATATTGAATGACCAACATCAAAGGGCATCTGATGCGCATTCTCTTATTCTTTAATTTTATCAATCTAATTGCAGTATAGTTTAGATTTTTAATTTTTTTACTGCTTAAAATTTTAGTATGAAGTATAGAGGTGGGAATTTAGTGAAACAAGTCAGTTTGTGTTTTCAAAAGGCCAGTTGGAAGTACTAATGATTGTGGGATTGCTGTAATTTCTCTCAAGAAACCTGTTTTGTGAAACTAATTTGTTAAAATATTCACAATCGTTTGATAAATATTTCTAAAACTGAATCTTTTATTTGTACTTCATATCTTTTTTCCATTGGTTTTATTTTCTTTTTCCCTTTACTGATAAATAGAAAAGATACTACAAAAGTCTTTTAAAAATAATTATAATTTTTTAAAGCACCGTTAAAAGTACTTAATTGTGTTTGCATTATAATATTATTCTCAATCATGACCAGCACCCAGAAGAGTAACTGGCACAAAGTAGTCATTTAATAAATATTTGTTGAATGAATGAATAGATATAAAATATATCTTTCTGACCGTTAATTTAGATCTGCTCTGTTATTAATAGTGGTTAGCTATTTTTTAGAAATACTTTATTATTTTCTCTGGTAGGGAGTTGCTTGAGAATATCAAATATATAGTGATTTTTCAACTCCTGAATTTTTATCTCTAACCTGGACCTTTCCCCTGAACTTTAGACTTATGTTTCTAACTCCCTATTTGGTATCTCCATTTGGATGTCTAATAAACATCTCATTCTTAACATGTCTAAGATACACTTATACTTTCAGACCTAATCCTCCCACTTTCATTCGCATTAAGTAAATGGAACCTCCATTCTGTTAGTTGCTCAGGCCAAAGTCATAGAGTCATCTTTGACTCCTCTCTCGCACCTCCTGCGTTTAATCTATCAAATTCTAAAGTCTTATTCTTCAATAGTCTAGTCCACTCTTTACCACAAACACTACTACAACCCTGGTCAAGGTCACTTTTAGTTCTCACCTGGATTATTTGCAGTAGCCTCTGAAATGGTCACTTGATTCTACCTTTACCCCCTTTCTCGCATTGTCCGCTTGATCTAACATAAGTTAGATCATGTAATTCACACTTCAGTGGTATCCATTTCACTCAGATCAAAAGCAAAAACCCTTTAAACATTCCTTCAAGGCCTTTCACGATCTGATCCTAGCCTTGTCTCTCTGAGTTCGTCTTTTAACACTGTCCTTGCTTTCTGTGCTCCAGCTATCCTGGCCTTCTTGAATGCCTTGAAAAAGCCAACGATTATGCTTGCCACAGGGTCTTTGTACCACTTTTCCCTTATTTGTTCTTTAGTTCTCTTTCTCACTTCCTTAGGTCTTTGTTCAGACATCTTCTCCTCAGAGAGTCCTACTGTGACCACTCTATGTAAAATAGAACCTCCCACCTCAAAATGATGACTCTGTCTCTTCTTTACCCTGCTTTATTTTTTCTTGTAGCGGTTATTGCCATATGATATTTAATGTATTTATTTGTAATATGGTCTATATTTTTCTCCACTAGAATGTATTAATTTTCAGGGCAGATACTTTCTCAGTTATATCCACCAGGACTAGAATAGTAAGTAGCATATGATAGGTGTTCAGTAAATATTTGGTAGAGTGAATGCATGATAAAACTAAAAACATTGCTATGGGACAGGATAAGAATACTTTTAGTTATTATAGGCTTTAGTTGTTGTATGTTGCAGACACCTGATATCTATTGATGACTTAAAACCGTGGTATTTTTTAGAACTAAAATAATTAGCAGTATAACATTCAGATATTATGGCTTCAATTTAGAGACTCCTCAATTTGGGGAGATGCTTGCCTTTATTAAAAAAGTTCAAAAGCCAGAAACAAGGTAATAAGCATTTTAAAAGCAAAAGAAACCTCCAGCTCCTTCACTGTTTGGATGAAATTAATTTTTATCAGTTGGGAAAACTTCTGCCTTGGTAGTAAAATGTTAAAGTGTGGCCATAAAGGGTACTTTTCTGTTAAAATTTTAATATCTAGGCCTCCATTTGACTTCAAAGAAAAGATGATCTTAGAGCGATCATACAACAGTATATCAAACTCCCTGCTGCTTCTGCCTCACTAGAATTGCTGACATATCTGACAATGGGATTTTAGGAAGAAGAGAAAGATGTTAGGATTTAGGACTAGTATTAAAACTATTCTTGGACTATATATGTCTTGCCAAAGTTGTCTTTTGTGAGGTAATCTGGGATTTAAGTATCATTTAAAATATTTCTATGGAAAAAATGCATCAAAAACAGATTTACAGATGGTCTTTGAGAGCAGAGTCCATTCCTCAGTTGAGAACTGCCCTTTGAGGAATTACCCTTTGTTCCTTGGGAAACTTACAATATATCTATTAAGCAGTAGAACAAAAAACTTACAGAAAAGGCTAATTGGCAAAAAAGGGAAAAGATGAGAGAGAAATTTGCATTAAATCTGTTGAAAATAGATTTAGAAGTTTGATAGCATTTCTTATGTTATCACAGTTACTGACACATCGCAGGGATTAGCAAACATTTTTTGTAAAGGGCTGGATAGTAAATATTTTTGGCTGTGTGGGCTATACAGTTTCTGTCACAGCTACTCAATTTTGCCATTATAGAGTGAAAGCAGCCATAAACAATATATAAATGAATGGGCATGGTTGTGTTCTAATAAAACTTTATTTATTTATTTATTTTGTGAGGAAGATCAGCCCTGAGCTCACATCCGTGCTAATCCTCCTCTTTTTTTGCTGAGGAAGACCGGCTCTGAGCTAATATCTATTGCCAATCCTCCTCCTTTTTTCTTTCCCCAAAGCCCCAGTAGATAGTTGTATTCATAGTTGCACATCCTTCTAGTTGTTGTATGTGGGACGCGGCCTCAGCACGGCCGGAGAAGCGGTGCCTCAGTGCGTGCCCGGGATCCGAACCCGGTAGTGGAGCACGCGCACTTAACCGCTAAGCCACGGGGCCGGCCCGTAATAAAACTTTATTTACAAAATCCGGTAATGGGTGGAATTCATCCCATGAGCAAGTTTGCCAACTCTTAACACATTAAAAATGCTTATAAAAAGCATATGCAAATTAATTGCTTCAAAAATATATTAATATAAAATCAGTTAAAAGGTTTAGTTAAAAAAAGCAGAACATAAAATATGATATTTGTTGTAGTAATAAAAACACTTATTTTCCCCCCAAATAAAAATAGGTTTTAAAATATTGCTTCTTTAATAAGGACAGACTAACTCAAATGGATAGGAACAGCTAATCCGAAATTGACAAAAATGCGCACTTCATCTTTAAGAAAAAATCTGTTTTTTAAAGCTTCATTCAGTGTTTAAAACATCTTGTAAACTGTAAAGCTTCATATCTGTAGCTCTACACACACACATTTATGATAGTGTTTGACAAGGAATAAACAATTGAAGAAGGGAAATGCTTAGATGTTATACCCTGAAACTTCAGCTAAATTCAACGTACATTAATAAGATGCACCAGGTTATGATACTAGTTGCTGGAAGTGTTTAAAGATAAGTACGATAATTCCTCAACCAGGAAAGTGCTATCATGTAAGGTTGTACCATGTGTATAGTACATAAAGGTGACATATATAAGTGTACCATTCACTTTGTAGATATTTTAGTTTTGTGTGTTTGTTACAACAATTTTCTCTAAAGTATCAGCAGTGCTAGTAATATCAGTTACGTCTGGAAATTTTTCATGTATTATTTCTTTGGTAATTCACTCCTCTCTGTTCTCTCTGGAGCATATATTAGTTGAATGTTGACCTCCTTCATTAGTTCTCTACTTTTCTCATCTTTTCTTATTTTCCATTTCTTTCTCTTTCTTTTATTCCCAACTTTTTCTTTTAACCCTTCAAGTAACCTTTAAAAATTTCTGCTATTGTTTTGAATTTTTAAAGTCTTTCTCATTTAAATTAAAAAAAAAATAGCATCCCTGTCCTTGTTTTATGGATATAATATCTTTTTTTATATCACTGAGTTTATTGGTTATAGCTTTGCTTTTTTTCTCTATCTCTACATTGTCTATTGCCTTTTTTGTTATGTTTATTGAACTTTTTATTGTGAAATAATTTTGTATTTACAAGAAATTGCAAATATTGTACAGTGATTCCTGGGTACGCTTTACTCAGCTTCCTTCAATGATAACATCTCACATAAATGTAGTACCTTATCAAACCAGGAAATTGACATTGGTACAATACTATAACTAAACTGTAGACATCAGTTTTTATATACACTCCTTTTTTTTTTCTGGTGTATATTCTATTATATTTTATCACATCTGTAGATTCGTGTAACTACCACCACAATCAAGATACAGAACTGTTTCATCTTCACAAAGAAACTCCCTCAAGCTACCCCTTTAGAGTCACGCCCTTTCACCATCCCTAGCTTCCGCAGCCCCTGATTTGTTCTTCATCACTATAATTTTGTCATTTTGAGAATATTATGTAAATGGAATCTGATAGTATGTAAACTTTTGGGTTTGGGTTTTTTCATTCAGCATAATGCCCTTGAGATCCATTCACATTGTTGTACATATCAGTAGTTCTTTTTTTATTTCTGAGTAGTATTTCATTGTATGGATGTACCACAGTTTATTTATCCATTCAGAGAGTTGCATGGTTTGTGTTAAAATTTTTAAAATTCTATACATATTACTTTAGTATTATTTTTTCTCCTGTAGGAGTCTGTAGTTTCATTGAACAAAATAATAGAGACTCATACGTTTCTCTTCAGTCCTTAGGAACCTGCCTGCCATTGGAAGATGTTGCTATAATTAGAATTTTTAAACAAATGAGGTGGCAAAGTCGTTTGCAGAAGTTCATACAAAATTAATATTCTAAAGTTTGATGTAAATAGATATTTGCATCTGAGAGTGACCATTTTTAGTAAGATTTAACACTTTTTGGAGAGACTTACTGCCTGTTGATTTACCTTGTACGTTAAAGCATGATTTTGAAGTTAAGTGAAAAGTTGGTGTAAGATAAAGAAGTCAGAAGCCTTATTAGCTTATAAAGTTACAAAATTTACAAATAGAAATATTTTCTTTTGGCAATAGGGTTTGCGTTTAAGGTCAATTTATTTACATAACTTAGAGGTGCTGGAAGTGATATTCCTTAGTTGATGAAAATTGTGATCTTAGAGGATTCATGAGAAAGGGTTCTGGTTTGGGTTTCTGTAATAACTTTGTTGTATAATAAATGTTGATCTGTGAGGTTTTCAAATGGTGATCAGTTGGAGATGGTAGCTGATTATAGAAACTCTTTTGGTTTTGTGAGAACATGAAATTATAAGAGGGATACAAGAATTTGTGTAGGTTGGTTACAGAGAATTTAGTGAACTCTGGTGAGAAAAGCTTGAGAAGAAAAGATTAACTATTAGAAGAAAGGCATGACTTATATTACTTAAGTGTAATTGAAATGGCTAAATAGCAACTTCCTGGGAGGGTAGCCTTAAGCACACTGTGTTTTGGCCAAGAGGCGAATTCTGGTGTACAATTTGATAAGTTTTGGCATATGTGTGCACTTGTGAATTGTGCGCCACAATCAGGATAATGAACATATCCATCATACTCGAACGTTTCCTTGGAGTCCTTTGTAACCCTTTTCATCTTCTCTTTGCAACCCAGACAACCCACCAGTCTGTTTTCTGACACTATATGTTAGTTTATATTTCCTGGAATTTAATATAAATGTACCTTTGTTTGGGAACGGAGGGGATCTGGCTTCTTTCGCTCTGCATGATTATGTTGAGCTTGATCCATATTGTAACTTGCATCAGTAGTTCATTCCTTTTTATTGTTGAGTAATATTCCATTGTATGGATATACCACAGATTGTTTATCCATTCACCTGTTCATAGACATTTAGGTTGTTTCCAGTTTTGGGCTATTACAAATAAATCTGCTAACAATGTTGATAGCTTTATATGGACATACACTTTCATTTCTTTTGGGTAAATACCTAAGATAGAATGGCTGGATCATATGGCTAGTGTATATTTAACTTCTTGAGAAACTATCAAACTGTTTTCCAGAAGAGTTCCAAAGTGGTGATAGCATTTTATATCACCACCAGGAGTATTAATGAGAGTTCCATTTCATACACATGTTCACCAACACTTGATATGGTCATTCTTTTTCTTTTCTTTTCTTTTTTTTTTTTTTGTGAAGAAGATTAGCCCTGAGCTAACACCCAATGCCAATCCTCCTCTTTTTTCTGAAGAAGATTGGCCCTGGGCTAACATCTGTGCCCATCTTCCTCTACTTTATATGGGACGCCACCACAGCATGGCTTGACAAGTGGTGCATCGGTGCGTGCCTGGAATCTGAACCCATGAACCCCAGGCTGCCGTGCACTTAACCACTGTGCCACCAGGCCAGCCCCGATATGGTCATTGTTTTTGTTTAACCATTCAAATAGATGTGTCATGATGTCACTTTGTGATTTTAATTTGTGGTTTTAAGGACTAATAATATTCAGCATCTTTCCATGTACTTATGTTTTCCATTTATATGTCTCAAATCTTTTGCCCATTACTTAGAGCGTTTTTTGTATATATTCTAGATGCAAGTCCCTTATCAGATATATGATTTCATTCTCTTAACCGTGTCTTTGAAGAGCAAAAGTTTTAAATTTTGGTATAATCCACTATATCGATTTATTTTTAAATGAGTTGTGCTTTTTTCCCTAGGAGTTTTATAGTTTTAGGTTTCAAATTTAGGTTTGGGGTCCATTTTGAGTTCACTTTTGTATGTGATGTGAGCTTTAGGTCAGAGTTCTTTTTTTTTCCCCTAGAGGTGCTGGAAGTGGAATATTCATTGTATATGCGTTTGTTTCAGCACCATTTGGTGAAAAGACTTCAGTTGACTTTGAACCCTTATTGAAAATGAGTTGTCCATATATATGTATGTAGGTCCTGTTCTAATCCGTTGGTCTGCTTGTCTGTCATTATGCCTATAGCACACTGTGTTCATTCCTATAGCTTTATAATAAGACTTAAAATCAGTTTAAGTATTTCAACTCTGTTCTTTTTAAAGTTATTTAGGCTATTCTAGGTCTTTTGCATTTCCATATGAATTTTAGGATTAGTTTGTCACTTTTTTTTTTTTTTTGAGGAAGATTAGCCCTGAGCTAACATCTGCCAATCCTCCTCTTTTTTGCTGAGGAAGATTTGCCCTGGGCTAACATCCATGCCCATCTTCCTCTACTTTATATGAGATACCGCCGCAGCATGGCTTGATAAGTGGTGCATCGGTCTGCGCCCGGGATCCGAACCTGTGAATCCCGGGCCGCCGAAGTGGAGCGTGTGAAGTTAACCATTACGCCACCCGGTCGGGCCCCAGTTTGTCACTTTTAACAAGGAAACTCGCTTGGTTTTCAATTGGAATTATGTTGTATCTATAGATCAACTTGGGGAGAATTGACATGTTAACAATATTGAGTCTTTTGACTTGTGAACATGGTAAATTTCTCCATTTATTTAGGTCTTCTTTAATTTCTCTTAGCAATATTTTGTAGTTTTTAGAATGCAGGTCTTGCACATCTTTTGTCAGATGTATCCTTAAATATTTCAGGGTTTTTTTTGTGTGAGGAAGATCGGCCCTGAGCTAACATCTGCCAATCCTCCTCTTTTTGCTGAGGAAGACTGGCCCTGGGCTAACATCCATGCCCATCTTCC